GAACAGATTGGTTTCAGTGTTTACAAGGCTGCCCAAAAGAGGAAGTGAACATACCTGAGCAGGTTGGCAGTGGGGCATCCCAATCTCCAGTTTCTAAACACAGAATTTCAGCAGAGCCCTCTATGTCATATTCTTCTCTGCAGTAAAAACGTAATTTATTTCCAGATTTCACCAGATTATTTTCGGGTGGAAATCCAGAAATTCCAAGACCAGGACCCAATTGTGGAACTCTACAAGGAATGCCTAAAAAACCAAAATAGACATAAACAAGTTAGAAAACGCAAAAACGTTTTCAACTAACTCTGTCAAAATGTTATGTTACCACCCATTCATTTTTAGTAATAAGCACAGTGCTTGGCACTAATAAGAACGAACACATTTCCTGTGAACTATGTTAAATCAATTAACGTTTTAGAAACTATAGATGAAAGTAGACAATAAGGAAACATTTTATTCACATTAAACTTATTTGTCTGTTTCTCTACAAGCACACCACACACACTCACAGAAAAAAATAGTTTTTACCCTCATTTAATGGAACAAAAAGCCCAAATGATCACAGAAATTACTTGAATCTCAATACAAACTCTACAAATATAAACAAATGAAATTTGTGCATTGCTTTTTTTTTTAAACCATCCTTCAACATAAATAATTTAGAAAATAAAATAAAAAAACAAGCCAAGCTTTTGGTACAAACAATGGTTTTAGTTTCTGCTTCCATCACATACAGCATATGTTTCACTAAATAAGGTCTGAAACAACTAACAATATTAAAAAATGCATTCAGCTTTTATTTAGAAAAACTTTTTTTTTTTTTGTTAATATGAAAAAAGACATTTCAGAAAAAGTACAATATGCAAACTCAAAATGTAAAAGTGCATCTCATCTCTCCTTCCCATTTACCACTTCTACAGGTTTTAAATGGACCACCCATCACAGTATATTGAGAAAAACAGCTGTATTCAAGTCTTTCACCCTCTTGGTAATGTGGCTTAGTAAATGAAAGGGTGTCTCCGTTGGCAACCTGTGGGGGATGTGAACAACCTGAAGACCCTAAGAGAATGTAAACAAGAAGGGTAAAAGTAGCTTTACATCAGGGTCACCAATGCCGTTTTCTTTTATTCTGCTGCTCTTCTTTTTAATCATTTATAGATCATTTCATTATATTAACCTTTTCATTATATTATGGAGAATTCAAAATGACAATATTCAAAAGAAAATTAGATATGAAAAGTTATTAATAAAAATTAGTTTCTTATATATGAAATCTAAGTGAACACTCATCCCTCTTGTTAAAAAAAAAATCATTGTCATTATTTCTACACAGTTGAAATTTCCTTTGTTATTTTCTCTTCAAGCTAAAAATTCACATTACTATTTCAAAGTGATTACATTTTCAAAACTTATTTTTAAGTTTAATTTTTCAGTGTTAAAAAAAATCTGCATATAAAAAAAATTCAACCTTTCAAAATTCAACTCAATATTTTCAGACGCCGAATTTAAGACAGTGAAATAGAGCCAGTTGAATCTCAGGAGGCTGAAAATATTGAGTTTCAATTTTGAAAAGTTGAATTTTTTTATATGCAGATTTTTTTTGACACTGAAAAATTAAACTTAAAAATAAGAATTGAAAATGTAATCACTTTGAAATAGTAATGTGAATTTTTAGCTTGAAGAGAAAATAACAAATGAAATTTTAACTGTGTAGAAATAATGACAATACATTTTTTTTAGCTCAAAAATGTGTTATGAATATATTTTAACACTGAAACAATGTGTACAAACATACAACATTTAAATTTCAGTGCCATTTTTAATTCAAATCCTAGCGACACAGATTTACTTCCATATGGAAAAAGTACTTTTGGTTAAATTGTCTTTTGTATTTTACCTTGTATTTTCATGCACTGTTTAATGTCCTCATTACAGATTTACTTTGCGTATATTTTGTTCCATCACACATGTTGAAGACCATCAAACAAATCTAAAACTTCAAAAGACAATTTAGGTAAAATCAATTAAAAAAATGAGTTCCCCAATATTTGAAGGCAGTAAAAATGTTCCAACATAACTTGACCTTTTAAACGATATAAATGACTCTCCTTGAATGAAAATAATTAGTTATAAACAAAAATTTCAGATGGCTGAGATGAAATTAAATCAATTCAAGAGGAGTCTGTTGAAATTTCTACCAATGGAAAACAGTCATAGGCAGTATCTACAAACCTTTGACTCAACAAGTAGTTAAATGATTAAGAAGCCGATGGATTGTTTTTATACATTGAAAAATGAAAAATAACATTTAAAAGCTTCCTTTTTTTTTTTTACTCATGTTATAATTATGTTATATCAAAATGTGTCTGAACATCTTAAATGTTTCTGTAAAGAAAGGGAAAATCTACATGGGGACTTTAGTTAAACATACCAGAGCAGGTTGGAAAGGAGGAATTCCATTGTCCATTTTGTAAGCATTCAATTTCCATTGATCCATCCAGTTGATAATCAGCACCACAGAGAAAACGCAACTTGTGTCCGACGGTGATCGGTGCACCG